ATCACATAAAAGCCTTCTTTATTCTTCTATAGTCCCTAGTGTAGAGTAACAGTTCACTAAACTGGCCTAAAATTCATCTTTTGACTCAGTTGTGAGAGTGTGTAATTCCCCCCATTTTTAATACTCACTTGTAGCCACGTCTATTTATTTAGTGTGTGTGAGTGTTCTACCTGCATGTATGATGTAGGCCTGCTCACCAGAAGAGGGCATCTCAGATCCCACTACAGATGGCTCTGAGACACCATGTGGTTGCTGGGAATTGAACTCGGGACCTCTTGGCTCAGTGGCTAAGAGTGCCAGCTGCTCTATCTCTCACAGACACGTTTTTAAATCTAATTTCTTATGTAAGAGTGTTTTGCTTGAATGTATTCTTGCACCATATGCATGCAGTACTTGTGGAGGCCAGGAGGGGGCATCATATCCCCCCTGTAACAGGTGTTAATTTAAAACAGTTGTGAGCTGCCCCAACCTAGGAACCAAAAATAGATTAGAGTCACAAGCATTGGCGGTGGTGACGCATGCCTTTAATCCCAGCACTCGGGAGGCAGAGCCAGGCAGATCTCTGAGAGTTCGAGGCCAGCCTGGTCTACAAAGCGAGTTCCAGGACAGGGACAAAGCTACACAGAGAAACCCTGTCTCGAAAAAGCAAAGAACGAGCCACAAGCACTCTTAACCACTGAGTCACCTCTCCTGGTGTGTTGTTTGGTGTGAGAGAGCCTCTTCTCTTGGCAATGCTGCTGCTGGTCTCTGGGGTGCCGGGATTACAGACGTGAGCTACCACACACTGGACCTTATTCCAGTAACTAAATAAAGTGAGCTTAAGACCCTTCACTCAAAGCAGTCATGACCACGGGCACTAGAAAGATCTACAGTCTCAGTCATTCTGCCCATGCTCCCTTTATGAACAAAACTACTTGAAGTAAGTTCATGTGTCCTGAGTACCTTAGCGTACACCATGTGGATACTCACCTCTCCTTGGGATCTTTAATGTAGGTGTCAATCAGGAGACTGTACATTTCAGAATGAATGTTTTCCATGGCAATTTGGAAGCCATAGAAACAGCGGGCCTCCGTGACTTGAACTTCCTGGCTAAATCGCTCCACCTGGTGGTAATAAAATAAAGGTAAACCTGAAAATCCACCGGCTGTATCACCTTTGCCCTCTGAGCCTGCTGGGATTGGACCCAGCCCTCAGGCACCTGCAGGCAGGAAAATCTTTGAGTCTGAGGCCATCTTGGCCTACTTACAGAGTTCTAGGTCAGCCAGAATTACAGTGAGAATTCGTTTCAAAAACATAAGTAAAACATAAAAAACTAGTTTGCTCCTATCTATATAATACAGTTCTTTCACGATTCTGCAATAAAGCTCATCATTTTACGTCATACGCTCAATTTACCATCAGGAAATAAGACTCCGATTTTGCTGGGTTTTTAACAAAACTGTTAGTTTTGATGTTTGTTTCTCGAGACAGGGTTTCTCTGTTGTAACAGTCCTGGCTGTCCTGGAACTCACTTTGTAGACCAGGCTGGTCTTGAGCTCACAGAAATCCGCCTGCCTCTGGGCATGCGCCACCACCGCCCGGCTAAAACTGTGTTTTTATGTGCATAGGTGTTTTGCCTGCATGTATGTCTGTGCACCAGAAAAAGGCGCCAGTCAGACCCAGTGGAAATTACATTGGAGTTACATACAGCAAGCGCTCTTAACCGCTGACTCACTCTCCAGGCCTGGCAGGGTTTAACATTTTATTATTCACCCATTCTCTTTTGGTTAATCTACTTATAATAAGAAATATACAACCAAATTATTAGAGAAAGCCACAGAAAGACAAGTGTGGTAGGTACAAAGAGAAAACTTACCGCTGCATCTTAAGAGAGGAAAAACTAAGATGAATGCTAACATACACATTCACGGTTCTTAAAGATTTTATTTTACTTGTGTATGCCGCCTTTGAATGGGTACGTGCATGTACAGGCAAGTGCCCAAGGAGGCCAGCATGAGTCGTCAGATCCCCCTGGGGCTGGAGTCACAGGCAGATGTGAAGCCACCCAATAGGGGTACTCACAACAGCACTTGGGTCTTCTGCACAAGCAGGAAGTGTGTTAACCGCGGGGTGGGGCCATCGCCCCGGCCCCCATTCACAGAACAAGATAAAAAGTCCAACACCACTGCTACCTCTGTAAATGACTTCTAGGTACGTCATGCAAACTCACCAAGTTCTCGTTAACTATGCCGTCACTTGCTGCGAAGAAAGCCAGAACGTGGGATATGAAATGTCTCTCGTCGGGTTTCAGAGCCTCCCAGTGCTGGATATCCTTGGAGAGGTCCACCTGACGTTTAGAAGTTAACAATTTTACCGGATAAAATTGCAGGAGCTCCTCTCTCTCACACACAGACAGACAGACACACACACACACACACCACACCCTTAAAAACTCAAGTCCCCTACACCATCTGCTGACTGCGTTCCTCACATCCAGAATCCCCTTGGCTCATGAAAATACCTGGTACCTCTGCCAGCAACCACTCCCACGCTTAACCCAGGTGCATCTTCGTTTAAGGCTGGCCACGCAGGGGCCTTCTGACCCAGCAAGCCCTGAATGATTACCTCCTCGGCCGTCCAAAAGGAGGCCTCCGCTTTCTTGTACATCTGCCAGATGTCATGGTATTTGATGGGAAAGATGACGAATCGGTGGGGGTTTTCTCTCAGTAACGGCTCATCCTCAACGCTGGGGTTAGCAGAGACTTTGCTTTCCTGTCGGGTGACAAAAAAAAAAACCCACCACCCCCAAAAATGCCAAGTGAACCATAGGAAATTTTCCAGCGTCTCTCATCAGAGCAAATACATTCAAGGGCTGTCGATGCCTCCTGTGGTCAGCTGTCACACGGCATGCTAAGTGTCACCCTCCTCGCAGGGAGGCCCACCCGGGGAAGACACTTTGGCGGGAAAGGGGAGAGACGGACAGACAGCTGGGACAATGCAGCTTTGGCGCCAACAACGGCGGGCGCCCCCTGGCGGCAGCTCCGGGGACCCCCAACACTTTCAGCCTCGCCGGGAGCCACTCACCGGTTCGGCCGGGTCCTGTAAGATTCTCCTCGCAGCCTTGCTGGCCAGGACGCGAGTGGCGCTGACGGCCGGGGGCTGCAGGGACACATGCGTGCGTGTGAGCGGCGGTGGGAAGCCCTCCACCCTGCCCGGGCCCGGGACCCCACACCCAGCCCCGTGCAACCCCGCCTGCACCCGGGCGGCTGCTCGCTCACCGTGTTCTCCTTCTCGGCCAGGCTGAGCCGCTTCAGCGGCGACACCTTCAGCTGCTGCTGGTCGGTGATGGTGGCGAGCGGGACGCGGACGGAGAGCATGGCGAGCGAGAGCAGCGGCTGAGGCGGCGAGAGGAGAAGCGAAGTAGCCGGAACCCCGGGGATTTGCAGCCGAGCCGGCCCGGCCCCAGCACCTTTTAAAAGGCCGGCGCCGCGCGCGCTCGGGAGGGGGCGTGGCCGGCGCCCAGCGCCCGGGAAGGGGCGTGGTCGGTGCCTCCCGACGCTCCTCATTGGTCGAGGCTGGGCCACGCCCCCCGGTCGCCGAGCGCGGGAGATTTTGAGCTGCGCCGCCGGCCTTCGGCACAAAGACCTCCCCCCCTCCCCCGCCCCCACTTCCACCGAGTCTGCGCCGGCCCCGGGGCGAGCGGGCGCTCGCGGGGCCGGAACCGTTTTGGGGTGGCGAGCGGCTCCCCGATTGGAGAGCACCCGGGGCGCGGGAACGCGGGGGCGTTGCCGCCGAGGTGGGTGCCGTGGGTGGCGAGACCCCGCGGGGCGCTGGGACACGTCGCCTTCCCCGTCTCTTGCGTCCCTAGTCTGGGGGTGACGGGGGGGGGGGCTGGGGGGTCCGGCTAGGGCCGCAGTTCCAGAATCACCCGGGACCTGGTTTCTTAAAGGTTCGGGGTCCCCGTGGGGAGGGCTTTAAACGAGGGTTCCCGTTAAAAATGAAAATAAAAAGGGCGATCCGTGGTAAGCCTTCAAACCCACTCAAGGGGTACGGGGACGACCTTGGGGGTAGTGTCAGGCCCTGGTCCCCCTGTGTCCCGCCTGTTCTAGAAATTGCAGGCCGAGCCAAAAAAAAAGAAAAAAAAGAATTCCAGAAAGTTCAGGGGATGATTACGAGCCATACGTTCATTTTACGACTCGCTGGGCGTCCAATAGTCGGAAGACGAGTTTGAAAATTCCAGTGGTCAGGGTGGAGACAGGAACTCGCGTCCTCATCTGGTTTTGTAGCCGGCTTTTCTGACTTGCCCTGGGGAGGGGCACCGAGATACCAGAGATTAGATGCGGGCTAGGGAACGCTGAGATCCCGGGGAGGAACGTGCAGCCTGGGGATGCTCCCACTGCCGACACCCTCGGGGCGTGGGGGTGAGGGAGGCTCCTCTCTGCTTGAAGCGCTCTCGAGGTAGATGTGGTGAAAAATCACCCAACACAAAGGGGCGCCTCCGACTTGAGGCAGACGGTTCTGTTTTCCGCCTCGCCCGCGGCTCTTTGCAGTTGAAACAAATGGCAGAGAT